AATTTTTTTATTTTGGCTTACCAAAAATTTTTTTTTGGGGGGATGTAATACAAAAATTAAATACTTTTGTATTAATAAAAGAATTAAAACTCTTTCGTTTTCATAAAATGTCTTTGTTAAAGAATAAGCGTAGAGAGATTCTATTTTGGGAATTCAAGGCTGAAAACATACCATTGAAATATAAATAGATTTATATTTCAAAGGAAGAGTTATTTTTAGAATCTTTCCCTCTTTCACTTCCATATTAGGAAGCAGTAAATGATTTTCCTTAATGCGTAAGGTTTCAAGGAATGTACGAAGTGTGCCTTTTTACCTCAAATCTGTGTTGGTATAAAACGTAGGAACACTAGTTTTGCGTGTCCTTTTTCATCATGATGTGATCCTGATAAGCTGTTCCGGAATTATCAGAAGTCTTGTCCATCCCCCTCCCGTAGGGAGTGTGGATGTGAACTGTTATCAATACCAGCCTACATTTAAATAAACTTGTTTAAAACGTCTGATGGCTTACGGCTGCATTATTTCAAGCTAAATACAACACTGATAACAGGGATGTATCCCTGTTATTACATATATATATATATTATGATTCAAAACTAAGAAGTGGAAAAGTTAGATATTTTTATCTGTCTCAAACAATTCAATTGATGCTGAAAAATTTATTCATAACTTTTTCTATCGGGTTTTAAAATGTTTCCATTTTAAAATTCATTATTTTCCTTTTTATGTGGTGTAGACAATCGAAAAAATACCTCCAAGATCTTTTTTTGTCATCTGTCTTTCGAACAATATTTCACACCTGTCTTACTAAGGAATTTGAAATCATATATTGTTCCGTTGCGTGATCGGATTTTCAGAATACGAGAGTATATATTTTTTTCTTCTTTTTCCAGTAGAATTTGAAAGAATAAAGAGAGGAATGAAACATTGGGGAAGGAAAGTATTTTGATTTTCAACCTTCAACCTATTACTAATTTATGAATTCCATTATTCATAAGGGTTATCAAATTTTCTTCCCAAAAAATATTTGAAAATATGTGTATAAGGTGCAAAATATTGAACAAGGGCGTCAAGTGATGCTGGATTTACACAGGGTGCTCTGTCATGGACACCCTCAATTATTATGTTTGGAATTTTTTTATAAAAAGTCCAGGAGAGAACTTTGCGTAATATGAGAGAAAATAACTAGTATTTACTTTTTAAAATAAATAATAATGAAAAGTGACGATAAATAATAATAAAAATAAATAAAAGAAATGATAATAATATGAATAAATTGAAGTAATAATAATAATAATGAAACACGTTTCTAAACTATGACCCATCTTTATTAAGGTCAAGAAGAGCGAGGTTGTTATAATCAAAAACAAGTTCCTTTTTCCAGAAAGACTGGAATACGCTTACTTTTTGTAAGAAGCCGCCTTTAAGCTTTATCCTTCAATGAAATGGATGATTTTGAGATGATTTTAATCCCTTGTTTGCTTTTATTTCACATCATAATAATCTGTCATAGTTTAGAAACCGTTTTCAGTTATTTCTCACTTCGATTTTTTTGTGGCGCTCCTTATGTGCGTAGTTTTTGTTCTTTATTATCTAAAAGGCTTCTGAAATATATATTAAGAGGGGTCTTTATGGAACACCTTGCATATGAAATTTATATTTTGAACAACAGTCTCAGTTTTCTTTTTAAGAAAATGCTTTAAAACGTTTTATCCCTCGGAAAACTCAAGGTATCCCCAAAAAGAAAACTGTATATATTGGTTAGGCAGACAAGAGGCCAACAGGCAAGGGGTGTTCAAATTCAACAATATTTGTCACAATTGGTTCTAACAGAAGGAAGGTTTTTAAAATGCCATGCCAAGCACGACAATTTTGTTTTTGTTTTTAATTACTTCCTGACATGGAATGTTCAAAATAATATATTGCTTGCCTATCTATCTGAACGTTCAAATACAGCTTTTAAAAATTATGATTATGCTAGCATTAAAAAAACTCTAAATGCCTTTCTTGATTATAATTAATTTTAACTAATTAGTTAAGCAGTGAGATTTAATATGAGAGTGCAATGTTTCGAAGCAAATTTGCCATTTTTCTAAATAAATTGCAAGTCTATTCGAGAAAGAAATTGGCTATGATTTTAGTACAAAAATGTTAGATTTCTTGGAAGTAAAATAATTTATTACTTTTTTTTAATTGTTCTCACTTGAAAAATAAATATTCAAGCTTTCAGATTTTCAAAAAACTTCTATTTTTATGAAATTTATATGTAGTTCTCAAATAACACGGTTTCTTCTGGTTGCTCTAATGTTGTTTTCATAGATAAACGGTATTTTCAGAATTCTTGCTGCAAAACTAATAGAATTGTTCTAATTGTACATAATTAATAATTTTATCCTAACAGTTTGTATTAATTTCCATTTAAATTTACAATTAACAGTAACACAGAGAGATAAATTCTAGTAAAATTACCGTACAGTATGGTAAAGACATTTTTGGTTTTAAAAAAAACCCATAATTCTTTTGAAAAGAACAACAACAATTACATACGGTTTTCAAACCATTTATTTGGTATTGTTTCCGGTTCATATGATAGCAGTTCACCGGAAATTCTGGTTTTCAAAATTTTGATTCTTATTACCTCAGTAAAAAATACAGAACTGAAAAGTTAATTTAACCAAATAAGGGTATATATGCAGTGCAACTAGGTATCAGGAAAAAAATCATCAAATTTCATGACATACCTTAAAATCATATTTTATTGTTAATTTTATCAAAAGTCACTACCAAAGCACCTTAGTAAAAATTACCGTGCTTTTTGCTGTTCCCATAGAGCCAGAAACAGGGCAAATTTTATCGTATTCTGGTAATTTTGACCATACTTTTTTCGCAGTGCAGAATTTCACAGCAAAATTAATGTAAGTATTTGAAAGATTGTGAATTGTTATTCTGTGAGTTACTTAAATTTGATATTGAATGTACTTACTTGTATGTCCATTGTTTGTAATTTCTGCATCCTCAAAATTGTCTTCGAAATTATCAAATTCGAATTCGTTTAAATCATCATTTAGGTCTACTGTAGATGTATTAATATGTATTGGAGACTGCCTGTTGCCCCCACATTTTTTGAAGCGTTTCGGCCAAGACTCTGGTCCTAAAACGATTAAAAAGTTAAATAGTAAAATAAGTCCACAGTTTTAGAGTACAAATATAAATGAATGAAAATGAGTATTTCCAAAAATTAAAATGAAAATACGTGATCAATAAAAACATATCACTTCATAAAAATTTAATTAATGTTAAAAAAAAATTTCGTTCGTGGAACATACATATAAAGAGTGATGATAAAAATGAAGTAAAATTTGCGAGGATAAAATGAAACTTTAAATCTAGAAACCAATTATGATTGATAAATTGATTTTAAGTTCCCCGATAAATAGCTGGGGCTTTATAAATTATTAATAAAACCACGATAATGGTTTTATTAGCGTTTCAGCGCTAATGAAACCATACTAGTAAATATTTATAAGTTAAAAATGGATATTATTAAGTCCATATTTGCTTTTAGAATATGGGAGTAGATTCTTGCTAACACATTTGTTTGAATTTTATTTTTTTTAGAAGCGCTTCATCCAAACATGGGAGAAAGAAAAATTTTTAGGTAGTCTTGTAGCTACTTCAGTTACACTTGTTGGGAAGCAAAAAATTTGAAGATATTTTAGACAATATAGAAATAAGCTTAAATTTTCTGAAATGATTCTTTTTTTATTATACGCTTAACTGTTTCTTAGTATTGTTTCCAGGTAAGTACTTCAGAGATTTCTGAAATTTCTACAACATAGTACACGGAAACATTTTTTACACGGAAATTGTATTGTTTTTCAATGCACATGTAAGCAATTCGAAAATTTTGGATTTTCATTCTTTATATTATCTTCAAAATCTCTTAATTTCTCCTCGTTTTACCCGATGAACATTTAAAAATAAAAACTATAATTTTCTTAAGATAAAAGCAGATTTTAGCAACTTTTTATTGCGTACAAACTTTGAGGTCAACTTATGTTTCTATGTTTCGATACATCTTTACAAATTTTATACGTTTATACACGGTCAATAATTTTGTAATTTTTTCTTTTTTTTAAACATTTTTTGAAATTTGAACCAATTTTAGAAGTGTAATTTATTTTAAGGGATATCACCTTTTCGACCTTTGCGTGTAAATAATTCTTAAAAGGTTTTAGAAGGAATGATTTGTTAATCAAGTTTTACTTGCTTATTTTATGCTCAATCTCCAACCAACTTTAAATATATATATGTAAAGAAGGCAGTCGGCCGAGCAGTAAAGCAGGCACAGGATTTCAAAATTAAGCAACTTAAATTTATTTAATCATTTTCAGATGAATGACCAGAGAGAAAAAGAGCCGCAATTTCATCGTGCTCCAGCCTAAATGTTAGGGAAAATCTTGCAAGGAAAATCCGTAAAATGCTTCGATCTAGGGAAAAAGGGAAATCTTAGTAATTCTAATTGGTTTATTAAATAGGTCACGCGATTCCCACAAAGAGAAAAGGGAAAAATGTCTTACTTTTAATTAATGCATGCTTGAACCAAAAATAGATTTCAGGACAGGATGTGAATTTAAAAGTGTGAAAAAGTGTTTTGATTATAATAATAAATTAAGGAAAGGATTTACGGAAAAAAAACAACATAAAAAGATTAATTGAAGCTTTTTAAATATATATATATATATATATATAATATAGGTAAGTGTGTGTATACATTAAAAGTTGGTTGGAGATTTAGTATAAAATAAACTTTATTAATAAATTAAGATATCAATCTTTCATTCTATTCGAAATTTAAATAAAAGCGAAGAATGCCTTAAGTGTAATATCCTGTTGCACTGCCATCAAAAGCTAAATTCTTGCAATCAATTGCATTTCTTTCTTTTCCATTAATTTCCTCATATTCACCATCATTACCTCCTCTACAAATAGCTTTCTTTATTGCTTCTTCCCTTCACCAGATATAAAGTAGGGAAAATAGTAGTTCTTAAAGAGCTGCTCAGGTTGAATAAACGATAGCAATTTTCTGAACATTCTGATAGGGGGCATACAAAATATTGTAAATCAGCATTTTTGTGTGAGCATGGAATGTAGCTAAATTTATTGCTACGATTTATTTAAGCTATTCTAACTCACCAGATCAAGTGAATTTCAATTTCATTTTCGATAAAATTATTTTGTCAAATAAAAATTGACATATTTTCGAGCATGAAAAATTTCTGCCCTTAGGGAAACAATCATGAATCCATTGGTGTATTTACTAATGTATTGCATTTTTATTTTAAAATATACCTTTGACTGTTTCATCCCTTGGCTTTCGATTTTTTGGNCTTTTACTTGAATGCTGTTTTTGTTCTGTTAGGAATTTTATATATATACATACACGCACATTACATTATAGTGCACATAATAATGTATAAAATTATTAACCAGACAATTATGGTGATACAGAAATTAGCATATGTATGAAATAAATAAATCAGTCGTATCAGTTTGGAATCGAAAAAGTATCTTCACATCACCTCTGGCAGCAATACAGTGCCATACAGCGATGTGTGATACATTCAATTATGCGGTCTACCAGTTCAGTTGGAAGTGTGAGCTATTTTTCTTGAAAAATGAAAGCGTGGAAAGGGTCCGAGGAGGAGGATTGAGAACCGCTGGGCATTTTTCTAAAGCGACCTAAATATGCTTGACAGGCCACTTCACGTGCTGAATTGTTTGCTGCTGAAGACAACTATCCACGATACGAGCCCTGCGCGGAGCCCTGCATAAGGGTAGGCATCATGAACATCAAGAATGTCATCTCTATACTTGTGAGCGTTCACGGCTCTACGTGGAAAGACATGCAGGTCTGTGCGTTCACCCGAAGAGATACCACCCACACGCATGTTCTACCTCCTTTCTATGCATCTTTTTCACGAATGTTTAATGGATGATATCGGGTTCCAGGTTCTCTCCAAATCAAACAACGCCTACTATCTTTTTGGAGGCTAAATCTGAACTCATATGTGGAGAGAGCAACCCTCCATTGGTCCGGTGGACATGTTTCTACATCCACCTCAAATGTTCCCTTCTATGGCATGACGAAATTGGCCCACAAATGGCTAGTCGCCTAGCTTACGTACCACGTTCGTGAAGCTTTCTACGCATAGAAGACGTTGACATCAATTTTACGGTTGCTGCACTAAGAGAGGATTTGAACTGACTCGTGGTTCTATTCCTTCGTGCACAAAATGATATATATCGGTCATCAACATTTAGCCATCTTTGGAGGAACCTTCTGAATGACGAACCTGTGGTTAGAAAATGAAACCAGAGTCTCTGAACCACAGAAGGACTCACATTGAGCCATTTGACAGCTTCTGTATTTGACTTTGTCCTGTCTTTAGCCTTCCAATAGATCACTATCTAAGTTCTTCAGAGAATTGATGGGTGGAGGTTATTGCTACAAATTGACTATCTCGAACTTCTAAGTTTAGAAACACAGCAAAATTTGCCGGCTTGCGATCAAATGTGCAATTTTATTCTCATTGCAGATGACGTCCTTCCATTGCAGTAATTTATACTGACTAATTTATATATCACGCTAATTTATATATCGCAGTTTTAATTAAAAACTCTTATTTGACAACATATTCAAATTTTATCGGGATTGTCTTATTTTTGGGAGAGTTATCGCTATTTCTATAATTTTTTCCATAATTTATGATAACCATTGTATATATACCACCTTCTCAGTAAATTTTCGCAGTTTGTGGAAACTATGTTACGTTTTCATCTCCAGTTGCATGACAAATTAGCCTTCGTTTTATGTTCAAACGAAAAGTGCTCAATTTTGTGGGTGGGACTACAAAAGCGGGGGAGTCATCCCCTCTACCAAGAATCAAAATTGTGATGGCATGTATACAGATAATCTTCAGGGATGTTTCCCAGACTGTTGGCAATGGCCAATCTGAGTAGCTCTAGTGCAACGTAAAGAAAGTGCTACTACAGCACGAAAAAAATAGGGATTATAAAGTTGCAAACTAAAAAACAAGGTTTTTAAGCTAGATGAATAAATTCTTAATTTATTTTATAATTGCAACTTCAGACTATTTGTAATCATTGTTTGTAATATGATACATTATGTCATGAATGAATATGCTTTCTTACATAGTTAAGTAAGCACTTTTGATTCGCTTTTTTTTCTTCAATTAGCTGATAAACTTAATCAAACAAATGCCCCCAAGAGGCTAGCGTGGACGTATCCACAATAGCCTCATGACTGCTATGATTATGCAAATTTTAACAAAGCTCTCGCGGATCTTATGAAAATTTAATATTCGTATTAAACTCACTTTAACGCAAAAAGGAATTTCCTTTTTTAAGATGTAACTTGAGCATTTAGGTATCTAATTTGGATACGGCCCGAATATGCATGTTTTTTTTAGCTAAATAATATTTAATGGTGGTCACAGAAATGTATGAAATAAGCATTGTTACCAGGGCTCGAAAAACCGCCCGTCCGCCCGTCCTCGGCGGTCAAAAATTCTCCGCGGACAACAAATTTCTCGAAACCAGCGTCCGCGAGGACGGCCATTTTTCCGTTAATGTTCGTGATACATTTTCAATTTTTGTTATCTTACAAGAGTCTAGCGCCTTACTTCTAAAATGACTCTCCAATCTAGAAATACAGCAACATATGGTGGAATTGATGTTTTCTCTGTCTGGGAGTCCTGCAGCGGTTTGAAAGGGGCTTTTCAGCAATAAACTTAGATAAAAACACATTACTTACTGGTCTTAAACAAGAAGCGTTAAACGGATTTATGAACATCTACCTAAATGGAAAACCTCTCTCAGATTTCTGTGCAGAAACCTCTGTAAATCCTTGGCTTGATTGTAGAACTGGCAAACATCATATTTGATTCATTTAAAAAACGCAGTACCATCGGATAAATCGACATGATAATTGGCAGATAACTTAACCGTTGTTATTTAAATTATTTCATCAAAGAAATAAATTAATTCATAATAGAAATACTAGGTTTTACTATTAGTAACCTAGTATTTATTTTATTACCGTATAATGCAATCCTAGTATTGTAATCCTAGTAACTACTAATTCATTGTGCAATTTATATAAATGCTTGTAATAAATGAGAGAAAATTATATTTTTATTTATTTAGAAGCGACGGGTTAGTTTCAAAGGAGGACGGGTACATTGTTGGACAAGCAGTCCTTGGGGACGGGTAAAATTTTTGAGTTTTTTCGAGGCTTGATTGTTACTATAACTAATTTTGACATGTGGCCATCGTTCTTAAGGTACTTCTAAGTTGAGACTCTTGTAAAACAGAATGTTTTTCATCGATGCGTAATAAGATTTTGCTAATTAATTGACCCCTACCTTTCTCTCTCTCTCTCAAAAAGAAAAAAAGAACACCATAGTTTTTTCAGTTATCAACTAAATAAAATAAGGTTTTTCAAGCATCTTTTACTTGAATGCTGTTTTTGTTCTGTTAGGAATTTTTGAAGAACTGAATGACAAAATTAAAATCAATAAAAGCTATGTACAATGAAAAAAATATTGCAGGAGAAAAAAAACTGAATTAATAAAATAAATGTTATTTTATTTTTACCTCAGTCAGTTGCAAAATTTAGAAGTTTTCACGCAAAAGAGAAGAAAAATTTTATTTCGAAAAATTCCGATTAAAAATTTAAGAAAGTTTATTTTATACATGCATGCAAAGATACAAAAAGTGCAGTAGCTTTCTTAATTACATGAATTTTAATTTATAACTTCAAGACAATTTTTTCAAAAGCAAACTTTGACTACTTGCTGATCTTTTTCTTTCAAATTTGAAGTCATGAATAATAAAGTAATTTTAAAGCAGTAGTATTAAAAATAAAGTTGAAAAAAGTTGCAAAAATATCTAACTATAATAAAAAGTGTTGCAAACAAAAGCAACACTTAATGCATTATGAATGTGTTCTTATTATCGAAGCAGTTAAAGCGTATGTGGCTAATGTAAATAGCTACTGGAAAAGGTAGAAGGGTGAAGCAGATTTGAATAAGCCTGATTTATGCATGCCACGAGTATGATGCCTCATCATGCCCAACGAGAATTGTAACATTAATGAGTCTGGAAGGAACTGTGAGGAGTATAACGTTTAATTCTGAGTAATTTCTCATCAGATAAAGCTATCTAAATATACTATTAATTGCTAATATTTTTGAGTATAAATTTATAATTTAGAAAAAAACATGAGAGAGAATATAATTGAAAATCTTAGAGAAAGAAGGTTCCAGTTAAATTTAAGCGTTTAAAAACATCAGTAATGGAAAATATAGCAACTGCAGGAAGCTGTTATCGGTCTGGAAGAAAAAGTTAAGTTTTCGATATTTATTTTCCTGACAACTAAGAGATGTACAGTGCGCCGGGAATAAAAACAGACCATCCTGAATAACTTTTGATCAAATGATGGGATCTTCACATTCTAGGACTCGTTCTTAATGGTTCGAGAGGATAACCACAAATATGCAAATTAATAAGGTGAAGACGATATTTTAAATTGCGAATTCACACACAAAAACGTACCTTCTCTGAATAAACATATCTTTTTTCAATAGATTTCAGATCCCAAAAATATAGGGGATGGCCACAATCTGCGAAAGATGGTATCCCAAGTTTGGTCAGGAGAGAGACCCAAAGTTTGGACCTCTTAATGTTAATTTTACTTTTTGTGTGTTTCACCATATCTCGTGAACTTCTTAAGCGAAAAAGTTTTGCACACTGCTATGAAATTCGTTTATCCAAAGATAATACCGCACAAAAAATAACATTTAATAGATATTTAATATTTTTGTGTTTTAGGGTACACAATTTACGTCATTTTAAAATATGAGAAATACGTCATTTTACAGGGCAAAATACAAAATTTGAGCAAAATCAGTGGAATAATTCATGAGAAATTCTTTACTTCTCGACTTCTTTAAATTTCGATTTCTCAGGAATTGTTCCACTGATTTCGCTCAAATTTTGTATTTTTCTATGTAAAATTACATAATTACATTACATGATGTAAAAAATTTTGTACCTTCGAATTTAAATTTTTTCGACTATTACTTAATAAAATAATAAAAAATACTAACTATTTACTAATACTTATTTTTTTTAATGGAATTATCTTTAGATAACGAATTTTATGAAAGTGTACAAAATTTTTTCTACTCGCTAGAAAAGTTCTCGAGATAAATTCTCTTAACCAAACTATTGACACCACATTTCCCAGATTGCGGCTGTCCCCTATATTTTTGGAATCAGAAATCTAAATCCGTTGAAAAAAAGGTATGTTTATTCGAGAAAGTGTGTTTTGGGGTTTAATTCCGTGACTTAAAATATCGTTTGCTCAAATTAGTTTGCATATTTGAGGTTACCCCTTCGAACCATTAAGAATGAGTCCTTGAACGTGAGGATCCAATTATTAAATCAAAAGTTATCCAGGGTCTGTCTGCTTTTTTTTTGACGCACAGTACATCGCTGCCTGCCCCAAGGAACATACATTATGGCTCGCCTTCAAATCAACTTTATATTTTAAGCAATTAAAAGAAACAAAAGAACAAAGCTTAAAAGCTTTTTTTTTTAAAATGTCGCTTCAATTCCTCTAAATTTATTAATCAAATAGTGTGTTTTAATGTAATGATTTTACAATCTTGCTATCTGAGTATCTACTTCCATAAAAACTTCTTTTACTTTCCAAATAAAGTCAGATTCACTTTAGTTAAAATTAAATTTTCAGTTTCTTTCATGTGTCGATTACAGTATGGCTGTCGCGACGATCAAACTAGCCAAACCTACAAGCTCCCATAATTTTAAAGTACTTTCATCACACCGAGCAAAATAGTCACCATGATTGCTATCACTATGTTATATTGTCGTCCCGGAGGGACAAGGCACCGAGTTCGATCTTCAGAACTCGAAGAAAATGAAAAACCCTATAGATGTAACATAAGCTTTAATTTACTATTTCTGTATCTTCTAGAAGTTTCTAGAATGTTCTAATTTATCATTTCCCGTTCCGTTATTTATTCCTATAAAAGACCAGGTGTTTCAAGTTACTTTGTTCCTTGTACGTTTGAAGGTTTTCAATAAATCTCTTCAACTTTCTGGACAGATTCATATTCATTCTACGTGACAATATGAATTAAGAGGTGACACAATTCTATTTTAAAAATATGGCGACAAGTGGAAAAAGTGGCCATTTATAGTTACTACAGAGGTCTAGATACTCTGAAAACAATGAAGTATGGATAACATATTTTTGATGTTGGAATTATGATTTGAATAGTGCATTGCTTACAACAACAAAAATCATAAGTTGCAAAGCAAATAGTTTCTATGGGTATTCTTTCACTATCAATGCTAATTTAAAACCATTATTAGTTTTACTGTGTGGAGATCATTCAAAATAATGTTTCCTAATTCGCACAAGGAGATTTGTTTTTTTAACTGTATTTTCAAACTGACAAGGAACTGCGATGACTGGAGAAAGTTTCTAGTTTGTAGTTAATACTAACAACTTAAAACAAAGCAATGCATAAAAACTGCATTAGGAATTGAAGCCTAATCAGTGTCAGTTGTACTTACTACCGGTATATATTTGAATAATTTTGTTGATTGAAAATTTCGCCCCTTTCTCATTTGATTGAACTGAGATTAGTTTTTCGGTAATGCTAAAATGGTTCTCGAACCCATGTTAAACTGTTCCATGACATGATGAATCATTTCATAAGTCACAATGAATGAATTCGATCTTAGTATATACAATCCCTGTCCAAATTATTCGACGCACTGTAAGATTCTATGTAAAATCTTAATTATCAGGTGATACTACACAGCTTTATTGTTTTTCGCCACTGAAACCGGTTTGCACTTGTTTACATTCGTCTATCAATTGGTTTACATTGTAATGCGATACGTTAAAAATAAATACAAGTGGAAAGTATATACAAAATCTCTTGAATAAAGACCCGTTGCAGGTATGCTTAAATATAAAAGTAATGCATATATAATATATAATAAAAGTAATGCATATATAATATAATTTGGTCTAATTATTATATTATACTAATACTAGTGGGCTGCGCCCCCTGCTCGCTAACGCTCGCCAACCCCCGAAAATTGGTACGCAATCTCATATGGTTTGATTCGCAAACCAAGCTCGCTTTGCTCGCTACTAACTTAGGAACATTGCAAATGCACAAAATTCCAAGAATTCAAAACAATCATTCAAATCCATATAACAATTTTTTTTTTAAAAATTACATCTTTTTAGTAAATACTAAGTCATTAAAATAAATTTAAATTTCAGTTTCCATTTTTAAAAGCGGTATATGTTGATCCACCTCAGCTAGATTTGGCATGTGACATTTTTAGCGGCATTCATTGGTCGAATTTCTAGCGTTGCCATTCGGGGAGTTGTAATGAAGCTTTTTTTTGTCTCCGTGTAAGAGAAATATATATATAGATAATACCTGATATAATAAATATTCTATATTTATGTAATATATTGTCCAATTTACCCAATCGTTGAATTTATATTATATATCGTCTAATTTAACAAATTGATACACGAACGCGAACAAGTGCAAATCGGTTTCAGTAGCGTAAAAACAGTAAAGCTGTATAGTATCCCCTGATAATTAAGATTTTACATAGAATCTATAGTGCGTCGATATATTCGTCGATATCTATAGTGCGTCGAATAATTTGTTAAGGAACTGTATGTTAGGATATATTTACAAAAAAATATTTAGTAATTATTTTGAATACATATTCTTCAAATTTGACAGAATTGAAAAAAAAAAGTTAAATTATATCTTATCTCAACTAAAATTCCTTTTTCTTTTCTTTAGTGCTTCCCAAACAAAAATGCAAGTGACATATCTTTCTCCATGTAATTAAAAATATACTGTTCCCAACAATTTCTGCTTAGAATAACATTTTCAGCATATATTTAATGAAGGAGTTTTGACTTAAAATAAATTTAGATAGCAAATATAAACTTACCATTGTTATTTTCATATCCCCAATTATGGTCATCATCAGCTCCTCGCTTTACGAGTTCATGTAAACCAGCTCCTAAAATAAGAATTTTAAATGTTCAAGTAATAATGTACGTTTACGTAATAAAAGCACACTTAAACAACTTTCAACGTATTTTACAATTCTTCAATTTATGAATATTCTTAAAATCATCTCATTTAATCTTATCTCTTATAATCTTCTGCATGTCATCCTGTAGATCTAAAAATCTAATATTTTCATTTTTGAAATGTTTCTGATTGCCCTTTTACTACTGTAGGATTTCATTTCTACTACTAAAAATGATGTATTTTCTTGCCCCCTTGTTAATCTTGTCATCCTGTATTGTCTCAATTTATCTGTTTGAGAAGGGATTTACGATTACCACGGGATTTGGCGAGTGTTGGCAGGTGGCCGGAATAATCCCTAAGAGGAATGAGACACTTTGGGATTATTCCGTCAACCATTTTATCCAAACCCGATATTATCGCCAAAAGGTAACTTCTGCGCCAGTAACCGTGACGTATCTACAGTTTGTCTACGGTCAGAAATCCCCCCACTACAAAGTCTGAGGCCGTCTGCTGCTATGGAAACAAGAATAGAGCATTTCAGGGAGGGTAATTTAGGGCTAGCACAGTAGACGGAAGAAAAAGATTCCATTTTTCTCGCTGCCCCGACACAAAACCTGTCCTAAGCAATGACCCGACACCCTCACTTGAAATAGTTATACCTCGATTCCAAAGTCACCGCCACGGTTCCAGACGAATGTCAAGGGGAGTTCTTACGTTAGACAAACTATAGTCAACATCATGCGACCTTGAATACGCGAGTTAGTTTTCTTTAGCTTGTTGAAATATACTGTTTTTTTCACTCCGCTGCAAAATGATTCGAATTTCGGATTTGCCTAGCACCGAAGAGTGTGCAGTGGCATATTTTCAAGAGTATGGAATTATTTCTTCTAAGAAAATGTGCATTAATGGCCACGATATGGCGTTGTATATCAAAACTGATAAGCAATGGCTGTGCAATGTAAAGGGATGCGAAATTATTTTGTAAAAACTAGTGCCAAACCTAAAAACTAGCGCCATAGGTATCGGCAAGAGTTGGCAGGTCGTCGGGATAATACTAAAGAACCTAATTTCACTCTTGTATATTCTCGTCAGTGTACATTATAATATTACGCAAGAATAAATTCTGATGTGGAAAATTTAATGAATATCTCAATATAACTCGGAAAAGAAAATAGTTTAAAACCGTTTCCCACCGTTCTCGGTGCATTGTTATTGAATAGAAAAATTTATAGATTGGATTCTAAATTGACAAAAAAGAACCAATAATTTTTTACTACCACCAACATAAAATTAATAAAAGTTGCTTACCTGTAAATTTAGTTTTCTCTTAAAGTTTTTTTTCACACTATTCTATTTTGATTATAGATAAATTTAGAACACATTTGTTAAAGTTATCTTTGAACCATTATACTAATTAGAATAAAATTTTTTTGTCATTTATTTTTATTTTTATTAAATTGTAAAGTAATAATCGTGGCAATCTTTTTTCAAATAAATCAAAGAATTGAATCTAAATGTGGTGTTTTATTATAATACTATAAAGTAAATATGGAATTACCTTATTACGCAACATTTCATGATAAAAATATTGAGTTATTTCCTTACAATGATTAAACGGCAAATAAGTCATGCTATGTTCAGTCAACACATGTAATAGAAATAATAATTACGATGTAATTTTTTAAAAATTGCAAAGAAATATTTGAAATATTCTAGTGCTAAATTAATTTTTTTGGAGAAAAATAAACGAGCAATGAGTAAAAAACGAGTAACGGGCAAACAACGAGTAAATGACGAGTTCTTATGGTAACTAAAAATTAAATCAAAATTTCGGAAACAGATTTGGGGAATGAATTGTAATGGTAATAGAACAAAATATTTAGGTTTAAATTTTATCCTAACTGAATCGAATACTAAATAAGGGAAACAAAGTATGTATGAATGGAATAAAATATTTTAATATTGTTTAATTGAATAAATTTTGATTTTGATTTATAAAGTTATTTATCTAAAAAAAAGCAATAAATGACTGCAACACAATTATGAATATTTGTATTCGGCTGCTTCAAGGAGGAGAAACTCTTACTTATGATTGATTTGTAAGGAATAGTTTAAAAAATACCATCCTTTTTTTCCTTCTAACTAAAAAAATTTTTTTTTTTAACATTTTTAAATATCTCTGTTACATATACTTGTTGTAAATACTTACAAATAAAAAATCTTTCACTATTATTTAATTGTATAGATAAAATGTTTAACTATTTACTACTCTTAAGTAACTGCTAAATACCATCCTTACCAGATTGTATAATGATTTCTTTTTCTGTTAACTGCTCGTGACTTTTAAAATCTTATGCGAAGTATTGTATAGAAAATTTGTTTACGAATTTTTTTAAAGTTATTTAAGTTAGTTTACTATTTTTTTTAAATACCTTCATAGCTGTTTTAGTGAGAATTTGTAAATAATAAGAATAATATTACATAAATGTTGTTAATAAATATATTTTTAAAGAAATGACAATAAATTTAAGTTATAATAATTTTGCTATAAATATAATTTGTTTATAACTAATTAATGAACAGTAATGCTCAATTTATAAATAATAATTTATAAACTATAATTCAAAAACAATAATACTAAATTAAATTATTATAAATTAATTATAAGTAGTTAATGAAATTTACTAATTAATATTAGTAACAAATTAATAAATATTAGTTATTGTTAGCAATGAATATAAAATAATGTTTAGCATAAATAAATAATAGCTATTTTATTGTATGTAATTATGTCACGGGAAAATGATTTAATAATGGTTATTAGGGTGAAAATATCGATTCTGATATTTAAATGCATTTTATGACGCAGCTACCAAAAAGAAGGTGAATAACATGAAACTATGCATTTGAACTTGACTTTGACTAAAGCTTTAGTTTGGAACCCAACCTTATGTCAATACAGCTACCAGTAAAAAAGTGATGACCTTTTTGAGAGTTGGTGGGTGCTTTACTTTCAATATGAATCATAAAACCTGAATGCAGGAAGTCTTTATTTAACTGAATTTTAGCTCTTATCTTAAATTAATGGAAAAGTAAAGCATATATTTCTAATAAAATACTATTTCTAATAAATCTAATAAAGCATCTTATTTCCTAATAAAATAAGATTAATGTTTGACATATTTACTTCTAATTCAAGGTAAAAATAATATACAGTTGCCAAATTAATATACAATAAATTAATATGCAAATTAAAAACTAATGTGTCTGAAAGGAGACCAACTGAAATGTATGAGATTCCCCTCTTTACAAAAGAAATTTCACGAAAACAGTTTTTTTACTTAGCACCTAAATTATATAATAAATTACCATTTCAGTTGCAAAACATCAAAATATATTCTTCTTTTAAGCGTGCTTTATTTCAATTTGTGATGAACATTGACGATTTAGATCTCTATTTTTCACTTTAAAGGAAGCATTTGATTTTTTATACCAGTCTTGTGCCAATCCAAATGAATTTCTTATGTTACCTTTGCTATTTTTTATTTATTTATTTATTTATTTTATATATATAGTTTTATGCATTTTTTTTGTTTTCTATTATTACAGTGTTCAACAACATATAACGTCTTATGATGAGCAAAATAATTTATGATTGTAATACCCCCCCTTTTTTTTCTGTTTTAAATTTATTGTATTACTTTTCTTTGTCGCCTGGACAAGATTTTCCTCTTGACGACGAATATATATTCTTTGTATTTATGTGTTTTTGTTCTCAATAAAGTTATATTTGTTTTTTTAAAAAAAAAAAAAAAGGGGGGGGGGAATTTTTTTTTTATTAGACGCATTTTAAGATTCTATGTAAAATCTTAATTATTAGGTGACACTATACACCTTTATGGTTATCACGCCGCTGAAACTGGTTTGCATTTGTTTAGTTTTTTGTATCAATTTGTGAACATTGTAATGCAATACGTTAAAAATAAATACAAAAAGGAAGTACATAAAAATCCCCTGAATAAAAACCCATTACATGCGTGTTTAACTTTAAAAGTATTGCATGTAAACTCGTGCAAAACATGTAATTAATAAAAGACTACAGTGCTCATAATAATTTGGTCTAATTATTATAATATACTAATATAATATCTGATATAATAAATATTCTACAAGGAGGCTTCGCACCCTGCTCGCTGGCGCTCGCCAACTCCCGGAACTGCTTCCGCAGTTCATTTCGGATTGCAATCCGATGCTCGCTTTGCTCGCTCATTGGATACGTTCTTAAAGCCTAGCTTTTGTATACTTATTTTGAATACTGAAGCTCCGAAAACTTTTCACTGCGGAAAATTCTAAACCTGTACATTTCAATATTAATTTGAAATTGCAAACATTTAGAATTCGGTGAGAATCGAAGACAAATGTTAATGTGTTTAAGTATTGAGTTCATAACTTCTTGATTATGTGGATAAATACGAAAAAAAGTTTAGAGATTTGTACAAAACGTTTACAATTAAAAATGAAAACTGTTGCCAATGCGAGAAAAGAAATATCATCGGTTTTATTGAAACATACGTACGTATTAGCGTTTTATATAATATAGATGTTTATATAATATATTGTCTAATTTATCCAATTGATACACGAACGTAAGGAAGTGCAAACCGGTTTAAGCCGAGTAAAAACAATAAAGCTGTATAGTTTCAACTGATATTTAAGATTTTACATAGAATCTTATAGTGCGTCTAATAATTTGGCCAGAGACTGCATAGTTTTCTATGCACTTGAGAAATAGAACTGAAAATAAGTCAAGAATAGCAGCGTTGGCACGAAATAAATTAGATTTTATTTCATTCCAAAAGGAATGAAAGTATTTGTATCTAAACAAAATGTAGTCTTGAAGTGTTCTTCATGATGTTGTAACAACTACCATTATATGATTCATTTGTTTTCAAGAAAATTGATTGTTGATAAGCTGACAGTCATAAG